CTCTCAGCCTTGACTCAAATTTGACCCAATTGACTATTGCCCAGGCTGCTACTGAACCTTTTTAACTGAAAAATAATCAGCTAGCTCCCCCTAGCTAACTAGAAGGGTGCTACAAGAACAGAAATGCTTTCCATGGTTGGATGAGACGAACAGGCAGGGCACAGCTTTGGTAGTCCATAGAAAAGTGATATCTTTCTGCCTCTAAGTTTGTACAAAGAAATCCAAACATTTCCAAACAATGGTAGCTTTGGTGCTGGGATGGATGAAGCTAACAAGTTGTACTTGCTCAAGACTCCAAGACTTCCACTCCTGTACAAGATCCACTTCCTTTTTCCTCCTCGTAAAGCTTAGATGTACAGTTGTGACCAAAATTATTCAACCCCCACTGAAATTGAGTGTTTTGGCCAGTTTGACATTGCTTTTGATCATTCAGTCATCTTGCTTACATTTACATTAAAGAGGCACTTGTAGGTCAGACAAATATAACATAACAGTTATAATGAAATAACCACAAATGTCTTTTCTGTGCTCACAGCATTATCAGTTTTATTCAACCCCCAAGTGACATTCAATCTTAGTACTTAGTACAGCATCCTTTTACAGTTATAACAGCTTTTAAACGTGAAGCATAGCTTGACACAAGTGTCTTGCAGCGATCTACGGGTATCTTCGCCCATTCTTCATGGGCAAAGGCCTCCAGTTCAGTCACATTCTTAGGCTTGCGCACTGCAACTGCTTTCTTTAAGTCCCACCAGAGGTTCTCAATCGGATTTAAGTCTGGTGACTGCGATGGCCACTCCAAAATGTTCCAGCCTTTCCTCTGCAACCATGCTCTAGTGGACTTGGAGGTATGCTTGGGATCATTGTCCTGTTGAAAGGTCCAACGTCTCCCAAGCCTCAGGTGTGTGACGGACTGCATCACGTTTCCATCCAATATCTCCTGGTACTGAAGAGAATTCATGGTACCTTGCACACGCTGAAGCTTCCCTGTACCTGCAGAAGCAAAACAGCCCCAAAGCATGATTGACCCTCCACCATGCTTCACAGTAGGCAAGGTGTTCTTTTCATCATAGGCCTTGTTCTTCCTCCTCCAAACATAGCGTTGATCCATGGGCCCAAACAGTTCTAATTTTGTTTCATCAGTCCACAGAACACTATCCACAACTTTTGTGGTTTGTCCACATGGCTTTTGGCATACTGCAGTCGACTCTTCTTATTCTTTGGAGACAGCAAGGGGGTACGCCTGGGAGTTCTGGCACGGAGGCCTTCATTACGCAGTGTGCGTCTTATTGTCTGGGCTGAAACTTCTGTACCCACATCTGACAAATCTTTTCTCAGTTCCTCAGCAGTCACACGGGGACTTCTCTCCACTCTACGCTTCAGGTAGCGCACAGCAGTCGAAGTCAGCATCTTCTTTCTGCCACGACCAGGTAGCGTTTCAACAGTGCCCTTTGCCTTGAATTTGCGAATGATGCTTCCTAAGGTGTCTCTTGGTATGTTTAACATCTTTGCAATCTTCTTATAGCCATTCGGCCCTTCCTGTGAAGAGAAATCACCTCTTCTCTTGTCTTCCTGGACCATTCTCTTGCCTTCACCATGTTTGTAACCACACCAGTAAATGTCTAGAAGGAGCTGAGTATCACAGTCATTTTAAAGCTGCCTAATTGGTGCTTATTATGCTTGATTGCTGCTCGGTGACATCCACAGGTGTTTTCAATACCTGATGGAAAGCACCTGTATGAACCTCTGTTCTTCAGAGTGGTAGTCTTTAAGGGGTTGAATAATTGTGGCAATGAAGAAACCACATAAGAACCATTTACTACTGTATTACATAAACAATTGATGTCATTTTAGTTGCATTTGGGTAGTTACAACGTCCTTGTAGGATTTGATTCTGAATACAATTCCAAATGTACACTATAGTCCCTAAACCCCTTTACAGCATTGGGGGTTGAATAATTTTGGTCACAACTGTATAGTACCAATGGAATGGATTTTTCAAGTAACCCCTCCACACCCTCTCCATTTTATCCAGTGTGAATCCATCTCTTTAGTTGGCAAGGGTGCAAGCAGAGCCCGCAGTGGTTGTCAGCAACACCACATGCTTCACCGGTGGCATCCTACTTTTACCTTCTGAAACAGACTGGGGGATTGGGGTTTGTTGATCCTCCTACCTGTAGGGAAGGCTCCGCCATCTTGTCATCCTTCGGCCACTGTAGGGCCCAAGCCATGCAATAGGGTTCAACCTCTCCTGAAAAAGGCTCTACAGTTTTCAAATCTCTCTTCCCAATAATGTCTTAATAAATAATAAAGATCTTGCTTTTACAATGGTTTACTGAATTGTGAACTTTATAACACAGCCCAGCCTCAGGGAATACCTCACCTTACAAATAATAGCTATACATGCCCTGCATGGAGGGGTTGCCAGCCGACATTCAACTTGGGGAAAACTCTTGTGGCACTTTTTCTATCACATATTAAGGAATACAAATGCTTTTGCTTCCCATCAGTCCCCTTCTAAAACTCCTCCTTCCTATTTTATACCTTCTCACAGGCAAAGGAGCTCAGCCCACACCAAATAGGAAATAGAGCAGGGTCATCCTAAAAGGGATCCCAACCCCTGCTTGCAAGGGTTCTTAATAGCGACCCATCCATTATCAAAGGTCAGGGCTAGTAGGTGTCTCCAACCAACATGAAGATCTCCATGCCTGGCTTCTCGGCTTTTTGGCTAAAATCAAGTGCAGTATCTGTTCTTATCAGTTGTCTGGGATAGAACCCTGGTTCCCTTCACCAATTGGGGAGTCAGTTAGTAATCCCGGATGTAATTAGGTGGGAATGGTGAGAGTGGTGTGGGGGAGCATTTTCTTCCCGGGTTGATTCTAGCCTGGTGCCCAAGGCTTGTCCCCGGTTGTAGGCAAGGCTCTCCCTAAGCTTTCTAAGTTCTGATGCCTTTCTGGTAGGGATAGGGCTGCACTGGTCTGGCCGAAGGCTGGGCTGAGAAAGAAGCCTGCGGTGTATGTGCCTCTGGAGTGGCAGTCCAGGGTACTGAAATTCTCATGGTGAGGGAGCTCACTTTGAGTTTTAAGCACCTTGGTCATTACACCAGTCACGCTTTTTGCCTCTAGGGCCGGGCCTTCTGGCCAGGACCAGAGGAATTTTTTATTCCTGGTCAAACGGCCCACCATAGTACTACACTATGGCACAAATGCACTTATCCACTTCCCCTTTCCTTTTTTTATGTATGTTTTGTCATTTGCACTTTGCACAGCACAGTACGCACTTTCACTTTCCTAATTAGTAGGGTGTAGGTCCTCGGGCCTGCCCTTAAAATGTCTTGGGGGGGGGGAGGCATGTGGTCTTTTGGTCAGCGTCTCCTCCTCTCATGGGGTCTCTCTTCAGGGGAGCCCCACTAAGTACTCGGGGTGGCCTTGCTTCGGTAGGGGTCTTGAAGAAAAGGGTTCACCTGGTTTTCGGCCAGGTGGACCAGTGAGTGCCTCAGTCCCTGTCAGAAGCCTTACACCCTACGGGATCAGGGCTAGGGCCCTTTCTCTTCAGAGGAGGGTTAGACGTACACCCTGTGCACTTTATTGTGTGCTTCACTTTTGTGTGCCACTTTTTTTTGCACTGGGTGCTAGTTTTGTGAGTGTGTTCACTACACGCGGGACTTAAAAGAAAAAGAAGACCTCCATGCCTGGATTTGACTCTTCTTTCTCTAGCTCAATGTCCTTTCCCATAGGCTTGCTGTGTTATTTTTGCAGTTCCCCCCATGCATGCCTCTTCAACTGCTGGCTTTATGCCTATGTATCTATCAGTCTGTTGCCTGGGGTCCAGCTTTTGACTTTGTTCTCTGATCCAATTTTGGTAACCTTCTGCTCCACTCTTTTTTTTTGGGGTTGTTGAGCGGTACCTACTGTCTTACTGATTGTCTCTTTGGCCCCTTTGTGTTCCTGTATGTGCCCTAGATTCTCCCATTTGTCTGGTACCCCAACCTAGTGGAGATTGAACTAAAAAGGGGGCTTCTCTTGGACCTCTTCTCCAAAACCCCTGGTAGTGGTGACAGCAGATGTGAGGACTCAGGGTAGCACATAGCATTGCCACCTCATCCCTTTAAACCTGAGCACATATTAATTACACATGTTCTGTGGCTGATTAAGGTGGTAATTAAACTCACTTAGTGCCTTATCTGCAATAAATTAGCCTCAGAACCCATGTAATTCATATGTGTTCGGTTTTAAAGGGATGAGGTGGCAACCAAGGGTTAACTGACAACTGATGGGGCCCCCGGGCAATAGGGGATCATGGGGCCCCTGTGTCCTTGCCCAAACTCAAAAAAGACTATGAAAAAGATACCAGGGGCATCTCATGGGGCCCCCTACTGACCCTGGGCCCTCGGGCAGTGCCCGATTTTTCAAATGGTCAGTCCGCCCCTGTTGACAACCCTAGTAGCAGAAGAGCCAATGTTGCAGACACCAGCAGATGTATGGTACAGACAACTGTGTATCACTGGATAAGGACCAGAGGCAGAAACACGGTAGCACCTGATCAGTAGTGTTAAGCTTTACGTTCAAGTCGGCGGGCTGTTCGCCCGCAGTGCCCCACAATGCACTACACCCTGACAGTGCATTGTGATTGGCCAAAGCAATGCAAGAGGTGACTCCGCCCCCTTGTGACATCATCAGAGTATTTAAGAACTGTCCTCCCGGCACAGCTGTCAGACAGCTGGGAGCCAGCGTTCAGAGTGGAGCATTTTTTTTTTCTTTTTTCAGTTCGGCGGTTGATTGATGTTGGATCCACTTCAGGGTACATTTGTTTAATTCCCGTTTTTAATAAAGGAATTGTCAAAGACTGTCTTCTGTCATTTTTTGCACTATACTTTTTTTTGGTGAATGAGTAGCGGTACCATGTACACCCTACTCATTCACATGAGGGTCTGGGATCTGGGGGCCCCCTTGTTACCGTGTCCACTTCTGCTGCGATTGCCTAAGTTGTCCTCGTTCCAGAAGACAACGGGGCCATTTACAAAGCTCAGCGCTTCTCGCGCATGTGCAGTGGGCACCCGGCTGTGAAGCCGCAAGCTGTCACAGCCAGGTGCCCTCACTAAAGATGCTTGCGCTGGGGAGAGAAGATGGCCGGTGAAACCAGCCATGGCGAGGACACCGCTGGACTGAGGGACAATGTCTATATTTTAAAAGTCAGCGGCTACAGTTATTTATTTTTTTTCAGGTGGAACTCCACTTTAAGGCTGGGTTCGAACCTATGCAGTTTGCGTCTGATCCATTTCTGCAGTGCATTTTTTTGTTGCATTTTTAATGTATTTTTTGTTTTCTTTTTACTTGTTGCTAGGCAGATTAAAATGCAAAACATATCAAAAATAATTAAAAACACACTACATGCTTTTCTGCAGCATCCCCGTTAAAGTCTGTAGAACCACAAACGCAACATTTTGCGTTTAGAAAAGTCCCTGACCCTCTCCAAAAAATGCACCGGGGTGAAAACACGGAGATGTGAACCTGTCCCATAGGAAATCATGTTAAATGGACTGCTGTGCATTTCTGAAAAACGCTGTGGAAAACACATAGGTGTGAAGCAAGGCTAATTGGACAAGCTGAAGTTAGTAGCTGATTGGCTACCATTCACAGATTCACCCGATTTTGCACTCTCCAGTTTTAGTAAATGAACCCCTTGATGTCTTTATAAAGAAAACCTACCTATTCACTATCAAATTGAGGGGCTATCAGCCCTCTTGTGATAGTAAAAGGAATTACGAAAAAAGTAATACAAATATTTAAAAAAAGTAACAAAATTATTAACCCCCCTGGCGGTATTCCCGAGTGTAGCTCGGGGTAAAGTTTCAGCACCACAAGCGGTAACCCCCCCGAGCTACACTCGGGAATACACTGCAGCGTTGCTCCGGGATCTCTTCTTCACTTACCTTGTCCTGCGCTCCCGCGATGTCCCCCCTGCAGTGTCCCCAGCAATGTCCTCCGGCCGATGCCGGCATCTGTCTTCCGGTTTCCGTTCCCTGCGACGTCGGGACGTACGGGGGACGGAACTGGCGGGAAATTCAAAAATGTCAAAATTGTACATTCACTCAATACACTAAAATCACATAGTATAACATTCCTGTATCAAACCATTTCACATACATTGTGTCCCGAGTGCTTTGTCCAGCGCCCTGCCTGCATTTTTACTGTTCTTTTTGCCTGGAAACTGAGAAACGTCCATGGCGTCCAAAAAGCGTCCCTTTAGGTCAGACGCGGTTTTAGACCGGCTAGAGAACAGCGAAAGTAAATCAGAACCACTTGCAGAATTGAGTGATAATGATTGGTGGGGGAAATTCCTCATCAGACACTGAAAACGATTCTGCGACTTTGCTCAGCGATGTGCGAACTATATTTCACATTTCAGTGTTTTTGGTTTGATTATATTATTGAATTAAATTTATTATTATTATATTATTATTTTTTATGATTATTATATTATAATTTATGATTTCGTGTTTCAAATTTTATCATCCCCGGGATGTTTACTAGACTCTTGTTCGGACAGATTTCAGTGAGTTATTCCTAAGAATTACAGGCCTACAATAAAAAACTACATATTTCCATTGAAAACAATGTACCGCTTTCAGCACAGAAATACTGACATAATCAGACTGCTAGGGAGGCTACTAAAAGAAAATTAGAGGAGAGAGTTCCAGAGGATGGGGGAAGCTCTGGAGAAGTCCTGGAGATGAGCATGGGAGGAAGAGACAAGGGAGCTAGAGAGCAGTCGTGGGAGGAGCAGAGAGGATGTTTTGGGTGATATTAGGAGACCAGATTGGGGATGTCACTCTGGCGAAGTGAGTGTTCCTGTATTTGCATGAAAATGCCCACATCATGCTAAGCCAGGGGCGGACTGACAAGTCATGGGGCCCCCGGACAATAGGGGATCATGGGGCCTATGGAAGTTACCGGGGGCATCTCATGGGGCCCCCTACTGTCCCCGGGCCTTTGGGCAGTGCCCGAGTGTACAAATGGCCCCTGTGCTGAGAATACATGATTTGAAATACAACAAACAGAAAAAGGTATATAGTGAGTGCTTAATCCATAAGCAGCTATGCACTCAAAGCAACCAATATATGCAATAAATCAAACGATAAAAATAGTGCAGCGCTAAAAAAAGGTATATAAGATCAAATAAAATCCAGAAAAGCATCCATAAAGTCTATGAATTGTGACTGGTGAATCTACTGGATAATGGTGGTGCGCACGCACATCATCAGAGGAACCAATGGTTCCATTCTACTGATGATGTGCGTGCGCACGTAACGCGTAAGGAGGAGCCCGGACGTCGTGATGCTAAGCTGCCGGAGCCACGTGGAGGCCCGGTGGCCATCTTTAATATCCTTAGGAGGAGTACTTATTTTCAGAAACCCTGTACCAGGATCCAGGCACCATACCAAGAGGTGGAAGATTCCCTGTGAACAGGCAGTTCCTCCCAGCCAGCCCCCTTGAGGAAACCTCTGGTTACCTGGATCTTATTGATCTTTACTGAGTCCTGTCATCACGCAGAAGGGAGGATTGCCCAAGGTGACTAGACCTCTGATGAGGAATTTTATACAACGCTCATATTCATGTTATTTCTGGTGAGTGCGCATTTTTATCATTTCCCACGGAGCACCACCATTATCCAGTAGATTCACCAAACTCATAGACTTTATGGATGATTTGAAATACATTTGATAGAAGGGGTGGGCCAGGAAAGTGCTAGATGATATTGGATGTCCTCCAGCCAGGAAATGAGGCAGAGATCTATCTGACTTGCTGCAGCTTCTAATGCATATTGTGAGAAGCTCACAGTGTGCGGTGAAAGCAGCGTAAGTCATTCCAGTCCAGGAGAGGAGCTGCTACAACCATACAAGATTGCAGGGAAGATTTAACTGAAATTAGGCAAACTCATGCATGATTTGGTCTGAACAGGGGCGGACTGACAACTCATGGGCCCCCGGGCAATAGGGGATCATGGGGCCCCTGTGTCCTTGCCCAAATTTAAAAAAGCCTATGAAAAAGGTACCAGGGGCATCTCATGGGGCCCCCTACTGACCCCAGGCCCTCGGACATTGCCCCGAGTTTCCAAATGGTCAGTCCACCCCTGGGTCTGAACATGTATGGGCTCCATTTTACACGTAAAATGATCACATTCCATTTACATATTTCATATTGAGTGCCATTAAAAGGGAAGACATTTTGGTTTTATTCAATGGCAACTAGGATTTTTCATCGGCCCCCAAGGTGACTTTGAAGAGTTTTGAGACATCCGAAGCCTAATGATTTTCAAGCAGCATGGAAGCCATTTAAAGGGTTTCTATTTAATATCGCTGTCCCCTATTTCATTTCATCCTCCGCGCTGGAGAACCGATATAAATAGCGAGAATCTCACATGACGCCATCAGCGAGTTAACGAAATTGAAACATTTATTAAACTTCTTTGTTGCTTTCTCTGGTTGCCCGATGAGGCTGAGCTGCTAGCGTGTAATAATTCACCTGCAGGGATAATCATGTTGTAGCTCCAGAAATCATTGTACGTGGAGATAAGGAGCCCCACTGTCACCATTCACATATCAATAGCCATTCTGCTGGAGTAATGGCATTTATTAATGTATTGTGGCTGATTGGTAATTGTACAACGCCGTTCCCGCATGCCGAGTATTGTCCATCTCAAGCCGCTTGATTGACTATGAAATCAATGCGCTGTTTGATGCATCTGGAGAGCGGGCGCCAAACCTCAACCACCATCATTATGCTATAAACAGGCAATGGTGAACGCCGCACCGCCAATCATTACCGATAGAGAGGAATTCCCCGATATTATGATGAGGGGATATCACAGCTGAATCAGAGCAATCAAGAGGCCTGTTATTTACTAAAAAGAGGAAAAAGGAAGATAAGAACATGATTTTGGAGGCAGAACCTCCCATCTCTCAGTTCGTTCTTACTTCCTTTCCTTAACTCTCCTTCCTCCTTCCTTTCCTTCCTCCCTTCCTTCCTCCATTCCTTTTCTCTTATCTACTTTTCTCTTCCTCTACTTTCTTATTTTTTCTCTCTCCCCCTTTTTTTCCTTCTTTCCTCGTTTCCTTACTTCCTTCTTTCCCTTTCTTCTTTTGTTTCAGTCTTACTTCTCTAACTGACTTCATTGCTTTCTTCCATCTTTCTTTCTTTTTTTCCTCCCACCTTCATTAACTTTGTTCTTTCTTTACCCTCTCTCTCCGTATTCCAGACCTTCCTTCCTTCCTTTCTTCCCTCCCTCCCTCAACCCTGCATTACCCCCTCTCTCCATATCTCTTTCCCCTTCATATTCTGCTTTTGCAATTCTCCTTTCCTTTTTCTTTCCTTCCCTTCTTTTCATCCTTCTTTTCATGCTTCCATTTTCCCTCCTTTCTTTTTTTGTTCCACAAAGTTTATTGAGAAAAAGTCAAAAACATATAAATGGTATAAATTGTACAATGTAATACAATGTGCCAAAGAGAAATGCGGTAAGACACAAATCGCACATGCCAAACAATAAGAAATATGCAGGCGAACAAAATAATAAAGCCCTCTCGTGTCACCTGTAACAATAATGAAGTTTCTTTGAAAAAAAAAACACGAGAACACAGCAAAAAAAAAAAAAAAAAAAAAAAAAAGAAGGCAAACACCAATCATAATCACCACATAGCATACAAAATATCACCAAACGAGCAGGATCATTTCTTTTTGCACCCCAAGATATCTTTTATCGTCGAGTAGCAGAGGTAGGGGGGAAGGGGATAAAGCTAAAGGTGCTGGGCTTCTGGTGCAAGGAAGAAGTAGCGAAAATATAGAAAGCTCGGTGTTTTCCAGGAGGGAGCAGCAAAGGTACCACTCAAAGGTAGCCAACGCATATGAAAATTACTCCATGGAATGGGAGAGGCACATGTGCAAGTGTAATCGGGTGTGAGATTAGGTTGCCTATGGACAGCGGAATAAACATAAAGTGTAGAGGAAAAAGAAAAAGGGAAAAAATGAAGTGGAGAAGATGTTGAAAAACAGCAAAGACAGTAATGGCAGGTACAGGGCACAACAAGGAAGGAGTCGGGAGGAAAGAAAAAAACAAAAAATGGTGAGAAGCTGGAAAGCCAAAGAAGAAGAAAAAAAAAAAAAAAA